TGAAATGTGCCCAGACAAGATGAAAGTCATCGTGGAGGGACTTTTCCCGAAGCACGACCAAATGACCTGGCCACCTACACCGTACGGCGAGGCAGAGGCAGACAACACCGAAGGTAGACAAGTCTCCAACGAGGAACTCGTAGCAGTGGCGAAAGGGCTGAAGACGAAGAAAGCTCCCGGTCCGGATGGAATCCCCAACGTGGCGTTGAAGGCGGCGATCCAGGCGATCCCGGACATGTTCAGGATAGTGCTGCAGAAGTGTCTGGATGAAGGTCACTTCCCGGACCGATGGAAGATACAGAAGCTAGTGCTGTTGCCGAAACCCGGAAAACCGCCGGAGGATCCAACATCGTATAGGCCTATATGCTTGCTGGATACAGTCGGAAAGCTATTGGAGAAGATCATCCTCAACAGACTAACGAAATGCACGGATAGTGAGCATGGATTGTCGGTGAGGCAGTTCGGATTCCGGAAAGGGAGATCAACGGCAATTCGGACAGTGGTCGAGAGTGCCGAGAAACCGTCTAAACAGAAGCGGAGAGGGGATCGATATTGCGCCGTAATAACGATCGACGTGAAGAACGCATTCAACAGCGCCAGCTGGGAGGCCATCGCCGAAGCACTGCATGGAATGAGGGTTCCTGATTCCCTGTGTAGCATTATAAGGAGTTACTTCCAGAACCGGGTTCTAGTCTACGAGACGGACATGGGAGAGAAATCAATCCGGATCACGGCGGATGTGCCACAAGGCTCCATCCTTGGCCCAACGCTCTGAAACGCAATGTACAACGGCGTGCTAACGCTGAAGCTGCCCAAAGGAGTCGAGATCGTAGGATCTGCGGACGACGTCGTGTTGGCGGTAGTAGGCGAGACGTTGGAAGAGGTGGAAATGCTGGCAACCGAGGCGATCGACACGGTTTCCAACTGGATGCAAGGAGGGAAGCTGCAGATAGCCCACCACAAAACGGAAGTGCTATTGGTCAGTAACTGTAAAGCTGTTCAGCGAGCAGAAATTACCGTCGGGGAGAACGCCATAGCATCAAAGCACGTGCTGAAGTATCTTGGAGTGATACTCGATGACCGACTAAGCTTCAATAGCCACGTCGACTACGCATGTAAGAAGGCGGCGAAGGCCATCAATGCGATAGCTAGAATCATACCGAACAACTCTGGGCCAAGCAGCAGCAAGAGGCGTCTTCTGGCTAGTGTATCGTCATCGATACTGAGGTATGGAGGTCCAGCCTGGGATGCAGTGCTGAAAACGAAGAAGAACCAAAGAAAATTGAACAGTACGTTCCGCCTCATGGCCATGCGAGTCGTGAGTGCGTACAGAACAATTTCGATGGAAGCAGTATGCGTTATCGCCGGTATGATACCCATCGGCATCACCTTGGCGGAGGACACCGAATGCTATATGCGAAGAGATACCAGAGGAGTACGGACATTGGTGAGAACGGTGTCGATGGCTAAGTGGCAACAGGAGTGGGACGCAGCGGAGAACGGTAGATGGACACACAGGCTAATACCGATTCTTTCGACCTGGGTGAACAGGAAGCATGGAGAAGTCAACTTCCATTTGACGCAGTTCCTGTCTGGTCATGGCTGCTTCAGAAAGTACCTGCATCGCTTTGGACACACAACGTCACCTTTCTGTCCGGAGTGTGGCAACGTGGACGAAACGCCGGAGCACGTGGTTTTCGACTGCTCAAGATTTGAGGCAGTGCGAGTGGAGATGCCGGCCCTTAGCGCGAGAAATGTCGTCAGTGAAATGTGCCGGGATGACAGGACGTGTAGCGTCGTCAACAGGGCAGTGACACAAATTTTGTCGGAGCTGCAGCGAAAATGGAGAGATGATCAGCGAATTAGAAACGCCAGCTAGCTGAGGTAAAGAGATGTGCGTGAGCACAGGCCCTCCCCGACGAACTACTCTATGGGAGTTCCGGGGGGATAGTGGCTAGAGGCGAGTAAGGTTTTAGTGGTTAAAAGTTCCACACTGTGCCAGAAGGAGAACAAACACGCAACACAATGACTGGCCGGGCTTTTGAAGCTTTCCTTACTATAAAAAAAAAAACATACATAACGTACATAATTTTCAACAAGCCCCTCAACCCCCCTCCCCCCTGCTTTGATCTTGCCACCACTGCACATTTAATTCTCGAAAAATGTCATTATTGAGCTCGACAATCAATAAAATACGAATACGACTGTACAAAACAGTCCACCTCAACCAAATAAAATTGAATCATATAGGCTGACAAAATCGGAGGTGGACAAAATCGGGGGTAGACAAAATCGGGGGCTGACAAAATCGGGTCACCACTGTATTATCCAGTAATTGATCAAAAAATCAATTTCCAATTCAAAGAGTCCGGTAAATGGTTTTATGATTGATGAAAGCCCCGTTAAAAATTCAGAGATCCAATTAAGACCAAGACTATGTGTGTTGTCTCTTGAACAAAATCAGTGTGGATTGGGATGCTGAGATTACCTTGGAAGATTAATTTAGTAGTTCTAAATTCTAATAAACTACAAGTTGAATTTACCTTGCCTCCATCCTACAAAAGATGTATTCAGGCAATCTTGCCTGTAAATAAGAGAGTCTTACCTAAGATTTGTCGTAGTCCGGTTTACAATTTTGAAAGTTTTACCGGTTCAGAATTGGATTAGGATCTGGATAGAACTACTAGTCTAGATTACGATTAGGGATTTTAAAAACGGTTAAAGATTCAGGAATTCAAACTTTGAATTAAAAGAAATAAGATCCGAAACTTATCAAAACAATATGTATTTCATTTCAACCAGAGGTTCAGGATTTTCAGAGTCCGGTTCAAAATAAAAAAAAAGTCCATATAAGAATTCTGCGGGATTTCCAAGCCTCCATGATTTTTGTGGCAAGCAGCTTTGCCTAGAAATTTAAGAGCCCAGTTGAGAATTCTGATTGTCACACAAAGGACACTTAGAGTCACGCATAAAACTGCTTCATAGTTTAAGACAATCAAGCATTCGACTAGATTTTCTGAGAGTCCGGTTAAGTGCCGTTAAGTTTAGAATAAGTTAAAAAATGCTCAGTTAAAAATTCTAGCTTAAGATTTAGAGTCCGGTTGAATACATCTGGTTTAGGAAGATGCCAATCTGGTGTAGTACTTTGATAGTTCGGTTAACGATTTCGTCAGTTCGTTTGAGAAAACTAAGACTCCGATAGGCATATGTTTTTTGAGTCGAGTTAAGATTTCACTTTAAAATTTTCAACCTAATTCCAACTTCCCATACGATTGGAAGCACCCACAACAATGGATTTCCCCTAAAACAAGCCACGTATTGTTATTTAGCGAATGGGATGGTTTTCCAACACCACCACCACCGGTAGCCTATCAGCAGCATATAACAGCGGCATCATTTGATGTCGACGACGACGATGATGATGATGTTAAAGCGCCTGAAGGAGGCAAATTTTGGAAATATGATGCCTGTTGCTCTCTACCTTCCGGTTGTCGGTCCTTGTTCGTCGTATCTTGTCTCCGATGTAATCTTTGTGTTTGGGCAAAAATATGTCGCCCTTTGTCGAGAAAGCTTCGCCGAACGTGCCCAAACCGAATGTGTTTGGATCAAAGCGACTGGATGTTTACCACTCCTCATTTCTCGTCGGAAGAAATTTCGATCAGTATCCAAGGTAGCAACCGAACAACAACTTCGAAATTTTCCTTTCGGAGCAAGCTGTAGGTGAACTTTCTACGGACTTGTTTGGCCAAGAGTCAAAGTTCGTTCGATTGCCACCGCATGCACAAAAATAACACAAGTTCGTTAGCCATTAGCCCGAAACCAATTAGGAAAGTCACTTTCGCAAAAGAGCAACACACACATCATCCACCTTTAAATCAATGCTCCGGCAGCATCCATCCGAAAAGCGGTACGGGCAACAGTAAGTTTGTTGATCAAACATGCAGCCCTCCTCTGTCTCGAAGTGTGTTCCACTTTTCCCGGAAAAGCTAACTGCCCCCGATAAAAATCGAATATGACAAGGAAAAATCTTGCATGGGCTACGGACTGGTCTATCTCGATGGAGGAGATGTTTGTCTGTATGTGTGAGAGAGTGTGTTGTTGTTCCTTTAGCGCCAGATAGAACACTGAGCAACGTTGGACGAACGAACTTAGTCCAAATGTGTACGTTCGTTTGCGTTGTAACACCACCGTTGAGTGGAAAGAAACACTCTAAGGGCGTTAACTTAGATTTAAGACCGATCCGGGAAGTTTCAAAGTAGAGGCGACATCTATGATCGAGCGTCGGAAGTTCTTCCTGTTAACAAAAAGAAATTTCCGCGACCTTGATTTTTGCACCAATCTAAAGCCCAAACTCAGCAGGAAAACTCTGGCCATCTTTTCTTCCCAATCTAATTGATGTATTGAACTTCTTTGCTTTCGGGCACAACGCGGTAGACCCTGACTGGACAACCCGAATAGAAAGTCACATCAGCTTGATGTTAGATTATGATGTATTGAAAATCCATATGTTTTTTTTTCCTCGCAGAACTCATCGTTAGAATCACTCACTGAAAAATTGTAAAATGTAGTATAGGTATGCTAAGCTGAGAATCAACATTCTACTCGGGTCGTTCCCCAGACCTGTCGGGGAGTCCGACGGAAAAGCGCGCATTCCGCCTACTGTGAACGCGAATCGAAAAGTAACTTTTTCCCAGCTCTTTGATTGACATGCTCATTTCCTGTGCCCCCTCCCCCTTTCTTTCAACTTCCCAAACCCAGTAGAGGGAGGCACTGCCGCCCACAGTAGCAGGGATTGATTCCGATCGATCCAGTCCGGCAGTCCGGAGTTGTTAAAGGGAATGAGAATGATGGTTCTTCTATTCCGGTGGAGGAAGTTTTGCAGCACCACAAGAAGTGGAATCGGGGAGAACATTTGCCTTTAAATAAGTTCCTGTTTACTGTGTGGGTATGTGAAATTTATAACCCCCTTTTTGCTCCGGCAAAGGACGTTCAGGTGTTACCTTGTAATCTAGCAGCTCCTAGCAGGTACGTTTCAAACGGTAGCAGCTTGGATCTGGAAATGAATAAAAAAAGGAGATGATTAAGTTATTTAAGAGAAATGATTGCTTGCTTGAATTGAAAGAGAAAATGGTACATATTTACAGTTGGGGAGAAAGGATTCGGCAATGGCAGATCAAACGCGTTTTGGAATTCAATAATGCCATTTTAGAGCGCTTGGTTCACAGGTATACTGAAAGTTCGGCTGGAGTCCAGTTCAGGAATGGATTTGTAAATTCTTGTGTGGCAGATATTATGCAATTAAATATTAAACGTGGGAAATTCTGTTAAGGATTGATTCAGACAATTTTAATAGAAATAATCAAATCAAAGATTTTTCAGAGTCCGGTTGAAAACAATCCGAGTTCCGACTATTCTAGATGAAAATTCAATTACAATTTTGAGAGCCCGGTTTACTATTCAGGATTAGGAGAGGCCAGTTTTAAATTTCAGGCAGTCCGGTTTTGAATTTTTGAAATATTATCCGGTCAAGAATCCTGTTAGTCCGGTTTACGATTCGAGATTGTGTAGTCGTTCTAAGATAGAAGGAGTCTAGTTTACTGTCTAATTTGGAAATATTATCCAGGACTTCTTTAGATAATCCATCCATTTCAACAGTGCGGTTAGTGGACTATACCGAGAAGGAGATGATAAAGGACGAAGCGGATAAAGAAAAAAAAAACAGCCCGGTTAAAGATTTTAAGAGTGCTTTTAAGATTCTGATTCTGAATGGCATCTTCTGAATTCTAATACAGTATGGGTCCGATTGTAGGACGGTCCAACATGGTTACAGTCCGGTTTTGGCGCGAAAAGGGTTCGATTTAGGCAACATGTATTTTAAAGTGCGATAATAATGCAGATTAAGCCCGAGAAAAAATAAATTCTAAAAAGGTAATCCGGTCATATTCTTTTTCCGAAACCATATTGCCCACATTCGAACATGATCCAGGTGTCCCCGGGAAATTAGACATCATCTGACATGAATCAAACCCTATGGAATCACATGAGGATTCAAAAGATCATGGGCGGTCAGCTAAGTGCTCTGGACTGCATTGGCTGTACCCGGACTTGAGCCGAATGACCTGTGGAAAACTGACATGAGCTTTAACTCACAATGCGACGCATCAAATTAGATAAACTTTCAAATCACGTGATAATATTAAGTGGCTAAGGTCATATTGGCCACACTGAGAGCACCTTGTGATGAGACCTTAATTCAATTTACGTTTAAATGGGTAAGAATTTAATTAGACTCATCAGATTCATCAGATCAGATTTCAGAGATTCAGGCTATGTTAGATGTTTAAAAGAATCAAAATTCGGACAAGGACGTTTTAAGATATTTAGGTATTTATCTATTTTTTTTTTATATATTTACATGAAATTACAAAAAAAAAACCGTTCTTTTTGCATATTTTTCTCAGAAAAATATTATTTTTCTCTTCAACTTTGTCTCCGACATCATTTCAGGGCTGGTAGTGCTTATGCGATATAATAGTAGTGACTTTAGTGACTAAAATTACGAAAATAGTGATCAATTAGTGACCTGTAAATACTTAATAAGTAACCATTTATATGGTTACTTAGAAGTTCAAATACGGTTTGATATTGAAATAAACTTTTTATGTCATGGAACTTAAAATCAATTTCCATAAATTCCTCTAATTTAATCGAATCTCTGAACGGAATTTTTTTTCACAAGAGAAAAGTATTTGAAGTGATTTGAATAATTTACTTTTGCTTATGTTATACATGATGACTAGCAATTAGTAATTCCCATTTATTTTATTAGCTTAAATTTGATTCTGCGTTCGAAATATTTAAAATTTTGATATATCTAGATTCTAGGTAAATAACTTTAAAAAAAATGCTAAGAACTTTTCACAGAATTTCTTCAGAATGATCTCAAGAACTTTTTTAGAATAATTCCCTTTCTTTTAAACTTAGAGGCAAATAAGCATTTACAAAAATAATATTGCCTTCTTGAAATTCTTTGCAAAAAATCAACATAATTCTTGGAAATTTCGTATTTGGAAATGCTTAACATCAAATATCAGAATTAAAGTGGATATTTTATACGATAGATGAAGAGATGAAAGTAAAGAGTTGATAGTTCCGTTATAGTAAGGCAGTGTGAAATTTGTATATAGAAAGTAGAAAGCGAACAAAGGGCAATTGTGAGCAAGGTACGAGTCGAGTAGAGCATCTCCTTTACCAAGCTCATCCGTTAATGAGGGATGGCGAGGAGTGTTTCCCCTTGCCACCACTGGCAAAAGGGATGATCGCCGATTTTCTCATGCAACTCCGATGTGCGGAAAGAGTTCTATCGATTGTTTCACTCTAAAGTCGCCATCTGACATAAACTACCCTATTGGTACCTTCCTCAAAATTGTCCTTGCTCGCTTTCTACTGTGTATATACAATTTTCACACTGGCGTACTATAGCGGAGCTATCAACTCTATAACTTAATCTCCTCATCTATCGTATAAAAGCCGGCGCCGGTGGTGTAGTGGTAAGCGTGACTGCTTTCTAACACCCCGATGGGTCTGGGTTCAATTCCAGCCGAGGTCGGTGGGATTTTTCTGAGGCATAAAGAAGTAAAGCCGTTGGTCCCGGCCCATGGGTATGTGTGTTGAATGGGTGCGATATCCTACGCAGGTGTGGAAGCTGCCTTCCTGCACATTCGATTGCCGTCAATGGATGGCAATCGATGTCCGTCGGTGATTGGCACTAGATTGCGGAACAGAGATCGACGTTAAATAAAGGAAAGAAGATCTATCGTATAAAATCTGCACTTCAAGTCTGATATTTGACGTTACGCATCTCCGACTATGTCAATCGTTAAATTTACGCATGAAGTAATAACACATGATTAGTTAGAGTAGATTATTTTCCATTTTTATTGATTCTTCTAGGAACTACCTGAAAGCTCCTTCCATAAATCCACTTTAAATTTATTTGAATTCTTCTTAGAAATTCCAAGCAATTAACATCAGAAATTTCATAAATTTCTGCTTAAAATAATCTAGGACTTCTCCCCTGCATTCAATTGGAAATTCAATTCGTATTTTCCTTAGAATTCCCATAGTATTTCCTCAGAATTCTCAAAACAAAAATCTATCACAGAATAACTATGAAACTCTTCACAGAATTCCTTTTAGATTGAACCCTCAAAATTCGATATCATTGGAAATCTTCTCGGAATTTATTTTGAACTCTTTAGAATTCTCTTGGAATTATCTTCAGAAATCACCCTAGAATTTTTTTAGAACTATCCGCAGAGACCATTTTCGGAGTGCACGGGATTTTCATGGAATTTTCATCAAAACTCCAATAAGCAAAATTAACTATTTTTGAAATCTTATTAAAATTTGATCTAGAATCCTCATCCAATCATCATAGAATTTTTCTCAGAACTCTCGTTAAAATGCACTCTCAATTATATTGGAATTGTTTCGGAGCTGAATTTTGCGTCTCTAATAGTTTAAACAAAAATCAAAAGCGACGCTCATATGTGTTAAGCTAAGTTTAACTTTATTGGTAAACCTGGCTTAAGATTTAAACGGAGATGAAGAAATCGGTCCTCAGAGCACTAAATTTTACATGAGACTTTCATAGTCTGTACTTTGGTTTTTTCACTGATATATCTTGGTGTCATCCCTAGAATCCCTTAAAATGCTCATAAAATTTACATTGGACTTTTTAAAGTTCTAAACATCCTTGAAAGACTTTTGAAAATCTGTCACAGACAAATACATTTGGAAAATTTCTAAGGTTTACAATTTATCTTCTGGAAAAGGAGGTATATTTTCCCCGATTTTTTAGCGAAATTGAAGGCATTTCCCAATAAATAGTTTTCCTGGTGTTCTAAAGTTTTGCGGTTCAGTGGTCACCCGGGTTGAAATTTTCATTTTGTTAACAGATATGAATATTTTCTTAAAACTACTGTAGACTTTCTTAGTGCCAAGTACTCAATTCAAACAGTTTATTGATATTTTTAAATGTCACTCTATTTTAGTAGTGAAAAAGTGACTTTAGTGACTATTTTTAGGTAAATAGTGACTTTTTGGTGTAAAAAGTGACATTTTAGTGACTGGCTTCAAAATAGTGACCAAGTCACTAAAAAGTGACCTGCTACCAGCCCTGCATTTTGATCAGAAGTGCCATTTCTATGCTACAATTTATTTTTTAAATGTCTAAGACGCCATTTTGAAAATTTAACAACATCCATAATGGTCGAATTTTAGTAAAAACGGGAATCAGTGCCCATAGCAAACAATTAAGTTGCATGCGAATCGGAGAAGGTCACATCCCGAGTAACATTGCAAGTTTTATAGAGGTTTTATAGCAATCTACAAGTCGGAATCGTGGTCTACAGAACCGTCATAAAACCAAATTACGGTTGTCACTTTACGGTGAAAACGAAGCGAAGTGACCAGTTGTCACTCACGGTGAAATGATTTCCGTGTAAATCAAATGGAAATCACTTCACCGTGAGTGATAAGTTGTGTGACATCGGTAATAAGGGCCATACTTCATTTACCGAACCTTTTCCGATTAAAAATGTATTTAACGGGTGTTGAATAAAAAATGAGAATGATTTCAGTGCCGTCCAGCGCTCTTGTGAGAGCATCGCGACTAAGTTGCGCCGTACGGCTGACCAGGGCCCCTTCTCCAATTTCATTGACGTTTTTTTGAAGAATAAACATTATGTTTTTAATAAAAAATACTAGATTCGTTGAAAAATTTCTTTTTTACTAGCTATATGACTGAAAAATTCTCATTTTTTATTGAACACCCGTTACTATAGACAATCTTACCTGGTAATGACGTAAATCGTACCAAGGGGTTTTTACAGTCCGATTTAGAATTTTACAATTCTATATAATAGTAAACAATTTTGAGAGTCCGTTTCATCTAGCATCCAAAGGTTCCCATTAAGTATCCGGTAATCCGGTATACTATTCAGGAGTATGGGAGCTCGGTTTTCAGATATAGAAACATTGTCCGGTTTA